CAAACGACATATTAGTTTTTTTAGATGCCCTCCAGCAGAAGTTGAAAATTTGAGATTGTATCTCAAGCGCTTCGAAGAGGCCACTGGTTTCAAAGTAAACATGGAAAAATAAAAAACGATAGGTGTCCTCATTTCCTCTACTGGTATTAAGGATTTGATTCTGACATGGGAATGCAAAGTGGAGGATCTCCCCACTATGTATCTTGGTTTGCCCTTAGGCCTTGGCAAACCCAAAAAGAGGCACTGGTCACACGTTATCGACAAGGTCGACCGGCGCCTGGCGGGTTGGAAAGGTAGATACCTTTTTCAGGCAAGTCGCTCTACCCTAATTAAAGCAACTCTAGCCAATGCTCCGATCTACCTTATGCCACCCTTTCAAATGTCAATCTCTGTGGAAAACCGGCTAGAACAACATATGAAAAAAATTTTGTGGTCAGGCCAAGTGGAGCAATCTAAGTTTCACCTAACCTCTTGGGATAAAGTTTGCCTACCAAAATAGCAAGGGGTCCTAGGGATCAAAATACTTAGAAAACATAACCAGACCCTCCTAGGTAAATGGTGGTGGCGCCTCACAACCCAGACTGACTCCCTTTGGGTTCAAGTTTTGCGCCATAAATACAAGATCGCCAAGGGTACATGGGTGCCAGAGATGATAAATATTAACAAGGCTTCAGGAGCGTGGAGATCTTTCACGTACTCCCTCTCCTTCAGGAATTTCATTCGATTCCACTCAAGGGAGGGTACAAGAGTGCGCTTCTGGTTGGATATCTAGCTTGGACACACCCCCTATAGGGAACTGTGCCCTTCCCTCTACTCCATTACCTCAAACAAAGAAGCCATTGTCGCAGAAGCAATGGCAGTGGTGGGAAATCGAAGGAGTGGCCTTCCTTCAGAAGGAATCTCTCAAATGAGGAACTCTCACACTTCCTTTCTCTCTCCACTACTCTTCAAAACTCTTTCATTGCCACCCATGGGAGGGATCAGTTGGTTTGGCCTCTCACTCCTGGTAATTTCACAGTGGCATCTCTCTATAAAAGACTTATACAACCACCCACTTTCCCTCGTAACCCCCCTTCGGTGTTATCAAAGGTGTGGTGCACTATCACACCTCCCAAAGTTAAGTGTTTCAACTGGATAGCAGGATCTCAGAGGGCCCTTACGGTGGATCAGCTTCAAAAAAGAGGAACTCCAATTCCCAACAGATGTGTGATATGTCTCTGCGAAGAAGAATCTAACCCACATCTTTTCCTCCATTGCAACATGGCTCATGGTCTTTGGGGTCAAATGTTGCAACTCTGTGGAGTCCAATGGGTCATGCTAGCGACAGGCAAGGATTTGTTATCTCTTTACCGCGTCCTTCACTGGCCAAAGGCAAAAAGAACCGTAGTAGCAGCAATTATTTGGACACTCTGGAATGGGAGGAATTTTAGGATTTTCCTAGGAATTGCTACCGAAGGTCCAGCTTTGTTCCACAAAAGTTACATCCTTAGTAACTTTCTAGGCTTCCAATAACGGCATCTTTCCAGGGTTCCCTACTAATACTTTCCTCTACAACTGGAAAAACATTATGCTCCACCGTCCTCGCAAGGCCCAAAGATCCCATAACTGGCAACCCCCCACCCGAGGTTACATTAAACTCAACTTCGACAGGTGTTCCTTGGGGAACCCTTGTCATGCCGGAGAGGGAGGAGTGTTCAGGGACCACCACCGGTCAATTTTGTTAACGTAATCTGAATACTTGGACATCCAAGACTCTTAGCATGCTGAGGCAATGACCCTTCTCTTGGGGTTGAAAAGCTTCAATTTGTCTTGGGGGCTAAACTTATTATGGAAGGGGATGCTAGTAACATCATTTCCTGGGCATCAGGGGGCTCCTCCCCTCCTTGGTATCTTGCTCCCATTTTTTATGAGATCGCTGACATTTGCAGAGATATGGACGTCTCTTGGACGCATACCTTGAGGATGTCAAACGACTTGGCTGATCTTCTAGCAAAGGACGGGGCCAAAGCTCACACTGAAGATTTTATGGGTCACCTTTGATCCGAACCATAGAGGGATAAAGGAACAGCAGTTCTTGGCCACCTAATTTTGACGTATATCATAGAGTTTTTTTGTACAAAGGGGCAATTTTATAAAGCCTATTTTTTTTAATATCATTGTATATCTTGTAGCATCAAGGGCTGTCCTTTTAACCAACTTTGTATAGGGTTGACTGACAACCTTTTATGAGGAGTCCCACAGAAAAGGGACCCTCGATTTTATTACTTCTGTGTAAATTCTTTAAATGGAATACAATTAAGTTTTCTCAAAAAAAAATTACAGAGATGGGATTTGAAAGAGGGACATGTGGTAGATAGGAATGTTGGCAAGGGTGGCTTTAATAAGAGTGATTCTTCCCCCGAAGGAAACTTTTTAAAAATGGTCAAAAAAATTCCTTTTAATATTGCACATATATCTCATAAATAGGAGAAAATGATTTTTAAAAAATATAGCTAAGGACAAAGTAGGATTTATTTGAAATTAAATGGATGAAATTTGAAGAGAAAGGACACATCGAAAAAATAAAGGGCGTACCGTCTCGCTTAATATCTAAAATTGATCGTCTATATATTATTTTAATTTATCTTTAAAGTGTTATTCAAAAAATGAAAAATGTACAATCCACTTTTCTAGCATTATCTATATGCATGCAGAATGAGAACTCCTTAGCCTGAAAATCACATAAAAAATTGAGAAAAATGGCATTATAGGGATTCAATAAGAACCAAAAGTAAGAATTGCATGAGTCCCTAAAGTGAATCGGGCAATCCACTGAAGTGAATCACGCAATTCTGGATAACCCACACGATTCTGTAGGATGCCCTCGCGTGCAAGTTAACACGAGCAATTATGTGCTGGCTCACTAGTTTTCAACCACCGATGCAAACCACAACCATGAAAATGGAAACAAAACCGTCATTAGGTGGTCATTAACTGGTAAATTGTCAAAAAGCAAAACATTACCACGAAAGTAAAGATATAAGACTCAAAATTGAAAAACTTTTGCAACTCCCATTGGGATCATGACATTCAAACCAGGACTGCACCCCCATTTTCAATGCAATTGAGGTCCCCTTTCATAAGGTAGATATCCGTTTTAGTCAGGGATCGAGATTCCTATGACAGAGGGATCGAGAATCCTTGATGGGGGGCTGGAGCAAGCTCCACTCAAGCTCTGGCTCCATGCATCCATGGTTCATTCCAAACTTGAGGCAATGCAGTAAATTATCATTGTCCTACTTTACCAATAGTGATGATGATGATGATGATGATGGCATATCCTCCTTATGCAAGGTAGAACCAGGGCAGCATTATTTAAAAAGATAAAGCTTTACAATACTCACCGAGTGCACTGTAATATATCTAGCAAGCCTACTGGGAATCAAGTGATGAACGATCTACAACATTAAAAAACAGGCCTCTAGGATACACCTTGGAATTTTTTCTGAACCAATGATCTTTCAAGTTAAAACATTAAGAGATAACAGTTATAGTTTCATGGATACTATGGTTGTCCAGACCAAAAGCACATCAACAGCTCTTCTGTAAATAAAATTACATATGCCGAACATCCATAAGGCATGTAACACTTTAATTCAATAAATGCTAACTTGAACAGGATTGAGGATTGGAAAAAATAAAGAAAAAGCAGCCAACGTATCAAGAAAGAAAACTATTGCTTACAGCCAAATGTCAACCTGAGAAAGAATTTAACTTTTTCAATAATGGGCAGTCAAGTTTCTACAATTCTTAAGACGCCAAAATTCAATGAAATGCAACTCAAACCCTCACACATCAAAATTTAAAAGTATATCTCAGTGCTACTCAAATATGTCAAAATTTGGAGAAATAACTCAGAACCTATATTAATTCACACATGTCAAAATTTGAAGATATTTCTCTCAAAACTCGTAGCACTTGTGAAGTTCAGAGTTTTGGATAATCCGTGTTGACAGATTTTTTCTGAAAATTCTAAGCTTATTTTTGTGGTCACCAATCCACCTTTATCAGTAGCATGCTTTAATTGCTCGGCCATGAAGGTGCCTGAGGAAAATATTGAAATCATAAAAAGCTTGTCATATTGACAAGCCACTGGTGATCATACTTCGCAATTTAGCGTCATATCATGGGCTTGGAAATTAGTTGGTAGGGTGAATATAATCAATCAATTGTGAATTCTAACGGTTTGTACGCTACACTACCTTCTTTCAGCTTGCCAAAAGAGAGAGTTGCTCATTCTTTCAGTTTGCTGAAGGAAGTTTGTGCATTCATTGTGGTTGAGCTAATAAAGAACCTAACTGAACATAGACAAGGCGCAGCATTGGCTGGAATGGCATCTTCCTTCCAAGGGGTTTGTCAATACGATATTGAATTGTACGTTTAAAGGTAACCAATACCCCAATGCCAGGTAGGATTGATCACAAGGGACAACATGAGGGTTGACATGGGTCAAGCAATGCTCCAAGGTTTAAGGGTCTATAAGGATGGATCCTTCGAGCCTTAGATTATGAACGGAAACTTCAACATTATCAAGTGAGATCAGGGGTCAAGGTGATCCATCCTTGCTATGGCACTCTGACAATATCTGTCTAGTTTACAGTCACCATAATGTCTTCTCTTGTGTCCTTTTACCTTGCAAGAACCGAACCAGGAAGCATACACCTATGCAAATTTTGGGGATGCAAGGTATCCATAGCAACATGAAAGATGCATTTCAATTATGTGTTTGTAATTGTAGAGTGATTGCAATTGGACATATTATTTTAAGATGTTTTCAACCAAAAATGAGATTTCCATGATTTTGAATGACCTACGCATAAGCTATATGCATAATCTATATCTCGTATTTCAAGCCATCAATTAAATCATATTTAAAGCCATCGCGCCGTATCCATATCTTAAGTAGTCAAGAGAGAACTTTGTACTTTACAGAACTGAAACTTTAAGCCACAGAAAGTTACCTTAAACATGATGATACTAGCCAAAATGGTTAGAGATGTAAACATCACATAATATATAGGTGATACAACAGCTGTATTGAATGTGTCCAGGGCCTGCAATCACCAGGCACAAATCAAATGGTGTACAAGTCCTAACAATACTATAGCAAATATGACAGAAAAGGTAAATGAATTTGGTCACAATCAAGTAAGTATTAAAAAATCTGAGTAGCACTCTATATTCAACGTTTAAAATTCTCTGAGCACCTTTGCGTAACAGTTTCAAGAGAACATGGACGACACTAATATGTGTTGACTAGATTAGTTGCTAAAGAAAGCCTACAATGCTTGACAAATAATAATTATGTTAGGTTTGAGGAAGTAGAGAGAAAAATTCAAGCACAACGATTGGGCAAAATATTAATGTCTATGTCATTGTTTTAATCATAAGGCAATGTGTACTATATACATATGTATCCAAGTGGGGATTACAATACAGGTCAGCATACACATAGGTTACAACTATTAAAAAGAGTCCAAATGCAGTAGGATATTATACAAAGGACCTTCATCAACTTTGGTACAGATTGAGTTTCCAAAAATGTAAGGATTCTTGGTCGTGCCTTTTCATCATATCAATCAAGATGAATGTGGAGACCATTCAAATAATTATGTCCATCAAAGTAAATAGTTGGGATAAGGCTTAGATGATGACGATGATGAAATTCCCTGACTAGTGCAGTAAGCAAGCAGCATGGCTATACGTCTATACCAAACATGCAAAATTTGTGACTTCGTCATATTGTGGAGTAACCTATAAGGGCTTCACCATATGGCATCTTTTCAGAGTTTAGGGGTTAGTGATCTACAAATTTCACCTGGAGGGTTGTGTGAGAACCCCAACCTGAGGGTATGGACAGCTGAACAACTCCAACAAGCAAGGGAGTCATTTATAAATGGGAGCAAACTAGATGTTTCCTGTTTTTCGTGCTCAAGGACATTTTGACAGTGTTTTGTTGAAAAGCTGGGATACATAAGTCCGTCATAATGGGTGAAAGAGAAACTGGCCCTATTCCCAAATTCTTTCCATCCATATGCGAATTTCAGCTACACTTTGATGGGTGCTCTATCAAAAACCGGTTCTAGCAAGACTGCAAGTATTTTAAGGAATGACCTAGGGGACGTGGAAATGAACACCTCTAGAACAACGGATTTTGTTCTTCAACTGAGGCAACAAGCTTGGCAGTTCTTTGTGATATAAGGGAGCAATCTTTAAGATACTTGTGTCATATAATTGTAGAAGGGGATTTTCTCAATGGATTATATTCGCAAGGAGGGTGAGATCATACGCATGGAGAATGAGGGACTCTTTTGAGGAGAACAAGATTTCGGCTAACTCACCTGATACATCTTCCGGGGATGTTCTCGGGGAGGCCAACAATGAAGCAGTCCTATTGGCAAGGAACACAAGGGGTCATAAGGTGTTTTATAATAACTGAATGATGTTGCCTTCCACCTATAACTACAAAAAATCTCTCACCGAATGTCGCGATTCTGATTCGAAACTCCGATTCGGTAATTCCGACTAGGAATCTTCACGGAACCCATTTCCGTGAAGTCTAGAATCTCGATTCCTTATTTTTAAAAATCTCATATGTCCAAGACTTTTTTTTTTTTTGGAGAATGTTAACCTACATATCCAACACTTAGAGAATCGTGTTTCCAATACTTACTCATTCTTGCTTTCGCAATTGGTGAATCTCGATTCTACACTTGGTGAAACTGGTTTCCACATTTATCAGAAGCCTACCACCTCCCCCTTTTCTTATTTCTATTTGTTTTTTTCCTGAGAAGTGATATTTAGAAGTTTTCAAAGCATCAAACTACTCAAGCTAGACAATCAAGCTCAAGCTACAAGGTGCAGTCATCTTTTATGGCATGAAATGACCAGTAGACACCGAAGTGGTGGTCCACGTTCTCTACTTAATTATTTAAGTATGCATTGTATTGATTGAATGGGGATATTGCAACTCCAAGATAACATAAATAATATAATACAAATAATGTAAATGTGCATGTGTGGCATGTCGGTCAATGAATGGAATTCAGACATATTGTTTCCCTCTCAATTCCGAAGATGTCGGAATCTCTATTCCATAAATGAAGGAATCTTGATTCCATATCGATTGATTCCAACTAGGTCGGAAACTTGATTCCAAAGAGCTAGGAATCTCAATTCCATCTATTTTTGTCGAATCTTGATTCTTAAATATAGGAATCTCGTCCCCCACAATCTTGTACGGAAGTCGATTCCGAAAACAGAAATCTTCCAGCCAGCGGCAATTCCATGCTTCTGATTCCTAAATTGCTTTGGTTTCCGAATCGATTATGGTAAACAAAAATTATGCTTCCACCAATCCCAAATTTTGTGATTTTCATTTTTTCTCTCTTGTCATCCAGCCATTTATGTACACATCTCCGTTTGTGCGCTGTCTGCTTGATGCATACATAACTTCAGCAAAATGACAATTCAACTATCAAAAGAAAAAGAACATGTAAACACAATAAAACAGCTCTATAAGGGCTTCTATGCCTTTAAAAAGAATTTGCACAACACAAATACCAATTAGAAAGGAACTTGTCATACACACATGAGTGATTATTTATTAAGCATACAGAGAGACAAAATCTGATAAATTAAACATATAAGAGAATGTGATAAAGAACACACAGTATGCATCGTTGTCGCATCGAGGAACTGTGCAGGACCCATTGCCAGCATCCAGCTATGCCAAAATTCATATTCCCTGATTATTCTGTATTTACAAGTGCCACCAAGTGCCACCACACACGCTAAGTCTTTGTCAGGATTCATTGAAGGTGGCAATGGGGGGGTGCAGGGTCAGCCCATGCACCAATGGGTATACAGTCTCACCATGATAACCCTAGGAGATAACTGATCAAATAAACAGTAATGCAGTCTCTAATGGCATAAAGCCATAGATAACACTCGAGAAGTGTTACCTTCAGTCAGCAGATACGAATAAAAAGGATCCCCTTGACAAACATGCATTTAAGCAGAGCCAAGCCAAAACAAAAGCAACAGATTTTTGGCAATGATCAAAGAGTGGGTGTCTTTCTCATTTTCCGAGGTTCAAGCCTGTAGTGATTGGGGGTGGAGGCAATTTGGGAGGTGGGTGCTTGCATTTTTTTTTTTTGAGTAAAGTTTACTGTTGTATTGAGTAGAAGAAAAGTATACAAAGTCGACCACACACAAGATGGGCAGTCAGTAAATCCCTTTATAGGGTTAAAAAGCGAAAATTACACCACAAACTAAAAAAGCACAGAGGCAGGGATGACTCCTAGGAGAACTACGTAGGAATTCCCAGTGGGGTGGAGGCCAAGGCCCCCTCTTTGGCAAGGGAATCTGCAATGGTGTCAGCTACTCTCCAAGTATGCCTCCAGGCAATGTGTAGGTCCAAGCTTCTAAGGTAAATCTCTTCAAAAATGGGGTCCTCCACGGGCACTGGGCTGCTTTGGAAGCCCACACGATGACCTTGGCAGAATCTCCTTCTATTACCAAAGAGGTTCCCCAGTCAGAACTAAAGCTTATCAGGCCAACTAAGAGAGCCATGGCCTTGGCTTGGTTGACGTCGGAAGAACCAATGGAGTGTGCAACAGAGAAAAGGGTGCGGCCTTCGGAGTCCCGAAAGATCCCACATACACCTGAAGGGCCAGGATTCCCCAAGAAGCGGCCATCGAAATTAAGCTTGGTAGTGCCAGGGGCAGGGGGGACAAAGACGATGCCCGATGTGGTACGGCCTCAGATGAAGCCAGGCTTTCCAATTTTGGTGAAAAGCCTCAAGAGAAATATGCTTGAAGGGTTTCGAGTTAGTTGCCCAAAATATGACCATGGACCGCACCTTTTCCATCAGGGTTTCCAAATTAGGTAACTCTCCCCTAAAGATTCTTTGGTTCCTTTCCAACCACAGGGTCCAAAGGATGGCTGCAACCGAGGCTTCCCAAAGTAGAATACCAAATTTCGCCCACGGGGGTGAGAGTTATGAAGAGAAGAGATGGAGGATGAACTGTGGGGTTACCCAATACCCTCCAAAAAGATTGAGGACAGAAGTCCAAAGGAGGGAAGCAATCTGACAATGCAAAAAGAGGTGAGCATTAGTTTCGGCTTCATTCCAACACATGATACATCTGTTCAGGAGTGACCTTGGGGAGAAGGGAGAAGGGCATTGTAAAACGAGGAAACCAAGAAAGCACCTGAGGGAGAGGGTGTCCAGACTACCTTGTTGAGACCGGAAGGGGGGAGGAAGAAGAGTTGGAGAAGGGCTTGTGTTCGATGAAAGAAGGCAACTCAGCATAGTTTGGGAGCCTCCTGAAAGGTGGGGTCCAAACCTTGCTACAGGGGAGAGTTAAAAATTCTCAGCTATAAGGGATAGGGGATAACGGGCCAAACGAAAAAGGAAATGGAAAGACTCCCTCAAAGGGGCGTGACCAATCCATGTATCCGACCAAAAAGCAATTTTGGTACCCTCTCTGGGTCGAAAGCAGATATTTGCAATAAATCTAGGATGGCAAGAATGGAAGCCCTTCCAAATGCTAGAGGCATTGTTGGGGGCCTGCTTGTCGAGAACCACAAATTGAGGGGGCAGCGATATTTGAGGCGAACTACCTCTTGCCACAGGTGGTCCCTTTGTGACACAAATCTCCACCACCTTTTACCCATGAGGGCAACGTTGGCCCTTTTGATATTACGAATTCCGAGAACTCCCTGACGTTTTCGATACAAATTGTTTCCCAGGCAATAATGTGGTATTTTCTCCATTCGGTTTCAGACCAAAGGAAATTTCTCATGAGCTGCTCAAGTCGGTTAGCTACTAAAGCCGAAATCTTGAATAAGGAAACTTGGTAGATGGTATGCTAGAAGGAGTTGCCTTGATGAGAGTGAGTCTCCCCGCAGGGGAAACAAATCTCCCTTTCCACCCCGCGAATCTCCTATCGAACTTATCGATGATATGGAACCACTGAGCTGCTTTGGGCTTGCCGATGCATAGTGGCAATCCTAAGAAGGTGGAAGGCAATAGTTGGGCTTTACAGCC